CACAAGCAATCGTGAGATGGTGGGGTCTGAGCCAATCATAAGCGATGCTCAGGCCCCGTACAGCCATACACAGATGAGAGGTGGGAGGAGAGACGAAGGAGGTGGGAGATGTAGGCAGCGCCAGATGTCACCGAGATAGAATCCAGTAGGTCACCGATATGGTAGTCCAAAATGTCATCGAACAAGATCAAAATGTCGTGGACAATAAGTCACCAATGTCGGAGGTACAGAGTCCTAATGTAACCGGTGTCCAATCTGTGATCCATGTCTCGAATCCGGTAAGTATCACAGCCTCTTACCACCGAAGTCCAACAGTGATCTCTGTCCAACTCGTATCAAGTCTCCAATCTGAAGAAGAAGAGGAAGAAGTCTGAAGGAGAAGAAGAAGAAGTCTGAAGAAGAAGATGAAGAAGTCTGAAGAAGAAGATGGAGATGGAGAAGAGGAGGAGGGAGATAGCGGAGGAGGAGGGAGAGATGGCAAGGTAGGGAGGAGGAGAATCCTCACTGCCCTGTCCTGTCCTAAGCCTTACCTGCAGGATGCAAGATGGCGCCTTGAAGCCTTCTGCAGTCGAACCCCGCTGAAGCTATGGCGCCAGAGGTAAGTACCAGGTAAGTATCTCACTCCCTCTCTATCCCTAACTGCAGTCTAGGGCTAACCTAGGGCTGCTGCTCCTGGTGCTGCGCTAAACTGAAATAGCGCAGCGCTGCCTCTCGCTGCTCCCTTGTCCAACCTGCAGGAATGGCCGCTGGTCCGCTGGACCGGCCTAAGTACCGTCCGGCGGCCGGTCGGCCTCAGTGCTGGCCTCCTGCGCCGTGGGCTGAACCGTCGAAAATAGCCGTTCAGCCCAGACCGGCGGGCGGCAGCCTCAAGAGCGCCGCCAGGCCCAGTCGTTTGGGCCAGACCTGGGTCTGCTGATACCGAGGTCCAACCGGTGGCCTAATAAGGCCTACCCGGAGGAAAACGGCCTGGCCTTTGGCTAGGCCGGCCTGGGTCCCCCTGAACCTGTGTGTCGGGCCTGTGGAGGCCCGTGTGAAGTCGCAGACTGTAACAGAGGGTCTATTTGTGCAGGATGCTCTTATCACCCTCACTAACAGACCTCTTTTGGATGATTTCGGTTAAAAAAAAAAAAAAAAAAAAANAAAAAAAAAAAAAAAAGGAAAACGAATCGGCATTATGGGATAGGTTGTGGTGGTTCTCGAATCCAGTTTTCTACAATTTTGATATATGAGATTTCTTTGTAAAATTTTCTCTTTGGGGGTAAATTTTCTCTTTGTGTTTCTTAGTCTTTATTTCGCTGGTTTTCTGCTGGACAATCTTGTGCTGGCTGTTTTGGTGTTGGGAGTTTTGATCTTTGCGTAATACTGGAAATGTTTCTGAGGCTAATTTTTGTGAGGTTTCCCACTTGTTCAGTACAGGGGTGTGGCTCAACCTCAAGAGGCAGGACGCCCTTGCTTATTTCGTGGATGTATTGCCTTGGGCACTGGGCCCGATTATAATGAAGCCTAAGGTACCCGCGCATTGTTTTTCTTTTGGGGGGCAACGGCTTCTGGGTCACACCTAGCGTTCAGAAACGGCAACTTTTAAATTAGCAGTTGTCTAAACAGGGCAAAAAAAGGCGCTGCTAAATCTGCATTCCCCCCACTTCAAAAAATCGGCCACAATTTCAACCCCCGCTAAACTTCCACATTCTGAAACTCAAACAATGACATGGGTGCCACTTTTGTCTTTTCTTGCCTATTTCAAACTGAACGGTGACTCAGGAGCAGTTTTCTCTTTTTCTTTTCTTTTTCTTAATGGAGTTCTTATTAGGGTTAATTTCAAAAATATTGCTTTTTTGAAGTTTGGCAGCAAGAAGGTCCTCCGCTCGAAGTTTTCCTGTGCAAAAATAGAGGTTTCGTTGCAGCTTTACCGGGTTCCCGTAGTTTGCCAGCAAAAATACCGCGTTTTGTCGAGTTTCACAGCAAAGGACCCCTAGGCCTCTGGCCTCAGGGACTCAGGGACTCAGCGTTCTGGCCTCAGGCACTCAGCTTTGTTGTTGTTTTTTTTCCCGCGGGCGTGGCCGAGGCATCTCGGGCGTGGCCACGGCCACGGCCGAGATGCCTCGGCCATGTTTCTTGTTCTTTTTTTTTTTTTTTTTTTTGGCCGTGGCCGAGGCACCTCGGCAGTGGGCATGCCCAGACGCGTCTACCATACCAAAAAAAAAAAAAAAAAAAAAAAAAAACGCTGAGTGCCTGAGGCCAGAATGCTGAATTAAGCTGCAACGAAACCTCTATTTTTGCCAAGGAAACTTCGAACGGACGACATTTTTGCTGCCAAACTTGGAAAACGCAATATTTTTGCTATTAACCCTTCTTATTCTGAACCCAATGCCCAAGGCCACAATACAATGGAATGATAGTCACTGACATTCAGGGGTCGCCAGGCTTTATGCCTTCAACCTCTGGCTGAGCCCCTCCCCTATAGTAGTGGTGCCAATCTTATAGAGTAGAAACAAACAGCAACAAAAAGGAATCCTGTAAAAAATCTATGCTAAAGGACTGTCTGGCCCTCATGACTTCATTCTCAGGCTGAGCCCTCCCGCTCTAACGGAGATACCAATGCTGTAAACTAATGTACATTACTGTACAACAAAACAGCAACAAGAGAGGTCTTGAAACAGCTATTTTGTCAAAAAAAACATTTTTTTGGGGGGGGGGCAACTAGGGCGCAGTCACAGAAACAGTTTCTAAGTGCATTTCAAACTGCCATTCCGCAGTCCAGTCCAGTCAGAAGTTCATAATGCAGTCGAAACTCTGCTTTGCAGAAAAGTCGCACTGCGGAGTTTGTAACTGCAGTTCAGTCAGACACTTTATCGTTTGTTTTTTGGTTTCTTTTTTTTTGGGTTCTCTTTTTTTTTTTTTGGTTCCCCCTCTTCTAGTCTTGGGCATGGCCGAGCTGCGGGTTTTCTGTGACAACATTTGCTGTGTGTCATCTTGTTGACTGTGTACTCACCTTGTGTGTATGTGCATTTGTCTTGCCCCCTTGCCCCCTGCCAGTGGGCTATGCCCGGGAAAAAAATAAAAACATAAAAAAAAAAAACGGGTCATGTGCCTGACTGAACTGCAGTTACAAACTCCACTGTGTGGCTTTTCTGCAAAGCGGAGTTCGGACTGCATTGTAAACCTCGGACCCGACTGGACTGCAAAACGGCAGTTTGAAATGCATTTACAAACTCAAACCATGACCACGCCCTAGTTTTCTCTTTTTTTTTCCCCGCGCAGGGGGGTACGGGGTTTGCACAGAGAGGGGGCTCATCTGTCGGGGAACCCCTCCCTTCTTTTTTTAAGCTCATTATTTGTATTCTTAAAAAAAAAAAAAAAAAGGAAATTGCTGGAAGCGGCTGCAGTGCCAGCTGCAAAACGACTTTTTTGTTCATTTCGTTTTGTTGTTTCTTTTCTTTTTTGACTTTGCATGATGATGTCTGTGTCCCCACTCTGTCAGTTGCGGAGGATAGAGTGCCTTTTCAGAAATAAAAACACATAAAATGAAAGGGAGAAAAAGAAAAACACAATAACGGCGGGAAGATTCACTCCCGGGGGGCCCAGGGGGGGGCAATTTTTTTATTTTTTTTTTCAGATGAGACTTAGGGGCTGTGTAGCCCAGCCCCACACAACCCCATTTCCTCCGTGACCCGACACTGGCAGTGGGGGGTCCCAGAAGGGCCCGAAAAGGCAGTGACCAGCCACATAGGCCTTTCTGTTTAGCCTTAAAAGGCTTAAAATAGAGCTTCGAGCCAGGAATTTCAGGACCATATTTTTGACAGGGCCCTCTTGGCCTTTAACAACAAGGTAGGGGGGACTGGTCAGCTTGGGTGCTGTTCAGACAAGTTGTTGAGATACGCCTGTTGGTCCATGAGTCTGCTGTTTTGCTTGTAAGTAGATACTATTTAGGACTGTTTTTTCCTTCTTTGTCCTTCGCCAGCGCTACCCCTGAAGATGGCCACTACACTGGCGGACCGGCCGAAACATGTAGGGTAATAGCCAGTTTGAGCACCAAGCTATGGCGCTATGTGTCATCGTTTTCGTTTACCTCTGTATCAGCTACCATTGAATTTCATACGAGCTGATCGCGCTTGGGGGACTTTGCGTCATCTCTTGTCTCTTCCATCCTATCTCGTTCATCTCTTTTCTCCACCATTCCTGAATGAATGGCCGTAAGATTTTTTCACTTAGCTTGCATGTTGCTTGGAGTTTTTTCATCTCTACTGCGACATACACACAACTAACCGGCGGGGGATTGCTACCTCGACGGAGTGATTGTGCTCGTTCATCTCTGCTATCATTTCTACCATCAGTCTTGCTTTTGCTTCTACTTCTATCTCTTTGGTCTACTATCTCTTTCTTTCCAGTGCTAGTATTGATAGGGCCTTGCCGGTTGCAGAGTTCATGATAGGGACAGAGTAGTCCCTCGGTTGTTACGAGCATGGCGGGATACAACACTTGTCACTTTTGTAAGCTTCCCGGTCATTTCATCAGAGAATGTCCTTTTCGAGGTCAGCCTAATGGCGCGGAGATGGTGGCCAGGATCCAAGGAGAGATGGGCGGGGACGGAAGGAACGATGGATGTGGATTAATGCCCACGCCAAGTACTTCGAATGCCATCGTGTTGTATGTGACATCGGAGAGAAAGGGTTACGCCAACAGCGGTTACAACAGCAGGCGAGACAATGGTGGACAGCGATACTTAAAGACTTGGAATGGAAGATACTGACACCGGAAACGTGATAGGGATGACAAAATTGACAATATATATGGCTTGATGCCGGATAAGTTGAGAAACGGGAGCAGCGGAAACGAGGGCTGCCAAACTTGAGCTTCTTCAAGAGGAGAAGAAGAGACTTCAGGCTGAAGAAGAGAAACGTGTACGAGCTGCAAAAGAAAGGGAGCAGCAGGAGACAAGATTGGGCCAGATTGTGCGCAGCAACGTATAGGTGGTCTGTGAATCTGCCTTGTGGAGGAAGGTCGACATTCCCGAGGATGAGGATGGGGAGGTCGTCAAGCTTAGGAAGGAGCTGGAGGTTTTGAAACCACAGGTTGCTGGGGGAACCAACGAGTCAAGGATCGAAGTTTTGAAAGAGACCTTGCACAAGAAGACGGGTCAAGAGAGTGAAGAGGAGCGTCTCCGACAGGAAATCGGGGAGCTGAAGAGTCGACAGGAAAAAGGGAAGGAGAAGTTGGATACGCGGAAGGAGGATGAAGTTCTGGCTATGCAATTGCAAATCAAAGAGTTGAGCATGATAAGATCTGAGCTGGAAGAAAAGAATGTGGAGCTGGCATCATTAAAGGTGGAGAACAGTCATTTGAGGAAGGAATTGCGGGACTTGAGGGAAGAAGTATTGACGCGGGGGAAGAGAATCGTCGGGGTTGTGACTGAGAGTAGCCCTCTGGAGGAGCCAGCGAAGGGAAAGCAGAAAGCGGATCTGAATTCCACGACTATGTATACGGATAAAGACCTGGAAGCTCTGCAGAAAAACTGCAAACAATTCTTGGTCGCGAAAGATACGGCACTGAAGGAGGCAGAGATGGCGAAGATGGGAGCTTTTTGGATTTGGCTTACTGCAAGGAAAACCTCTATGAGGAAAACCATCCCAAGAAACTTGAAGACTACCTTCCAAGCGGTGGAGGTTGGTCCGGATGACAATGAGGAGGAGGAGGGACAAGAGTTGTGGGCTACTAAAGGCAACACGCAGTCTATCGTGGAGGTTGCTCACGATTTGGGGGAAGCCAAGATGAACAGATTTCGGGAGCTAGGCCTGAAGGAAACCCGCCAATCAAAGAAAGCAGACATGGAGGTTGCCTGTGATGAGAAAGGCATTACTTTCATTAAGTTGGAACAAGCGAAGATGGATGTCTTTGAGATCAGGGTCAGGCGGGACTATGACGTTTGACTTAAAGACAAGGGACGACAGGAAAGGCAGAAACCGAATGAAGATGATGAAGATCCGGAACAGAGCTATGCCACCTCCACTGAGGACGTTAACGAGGGGTGAGACAGTCACATCTTTGAAATTGGCTAGGCTATGTCTTGATTTTCGAGAAGATTTTCCTGCAGTCAAGGTTCAATTTATTTATTGTCACCTGATTGTTATTCTCCTTTTTATTTGAGGTGAAATTCCATGGCGCAGTAGGTTTATCGATCTTCTGTCTGTCTTTCTTCGAAATCGTTATGATTTTAGGCCTGGACCCCACAGGAAGAACCCCAGAAATGTTTCCAACTTGGCTGGAAAAGTTCGCCTACGGAAAGGCGGGACCCCACAGGAAAGGCTGGAAAACGCAGTTTCCAGGAGCTTGGAAAGTCTGGAAACTGCAAATGGACCGCACGGTGGTCATGGATGTCCGCCCCTGCTTCGACAGACCACTTCGTGGGTGTCCAGGCGGCCCCGGCCGCTCCTCCAGGAGTCGTCCTGGCGGGGAGTCGCTTGTGGGTGACAACAGAACGTCCGTCTATTGACCGGAAGGACCACGGGACGTGCAGGCTCGGACCACGGTTGGAGCAGCACTTTCCAGAAGAACTTTCCACGAGAGAGATGCCCCCCCCCCTACCCTCTCGAAATGGAACAAAATTCCGGCCCAAGATGCTCGCTTGCCGCCACGACACCACTTACGAAAGTGAAAACACGGAACTACACTTTTCCAGACAACCTTTCCGACACGGTGGGGTCTCCGAAAACAGCCGGAACCTCCGACAATCGAGTTTCTAGACGGCCATTTTCTTCCGATGTACTCCCGGAAAAGTTTTTCCAGGCCATCTTTTCCAGGACTTTTTCACGTTTTTGTCCTGTGGGGTCCAGGCCTTAGTCTTTGTCCAGGTCCTGTAGTCTATGCCCTTGTATCCCCTTGGTTTTGCCATATCTACGTAGGATGTACCATTAAATCTTTTGTCTGTCGTTGGAAGGAACATGTCACTTTATCTACCCCTTACGGTAAAGCTAAGGGAAATAAGAAACTTTATAGGTGGCTGCGTAGGGTTAGGATTGATAATTATGTGGCTATTCCAATTTTTGTTGTTGATAAGAAAGATTTGTTAGGGGCGAAGAAGTTTTTTATTAATTTCGTATGCCCCACTCTTCATTCTGTTGTAAAAAGGACAATATCTCCTAGGGAATGTCGCTTGGGCAAAAAGGAAAGGGCAAGGAGGAATTTGCGTAGGGATATTCCATTGACCGTGGAAAATGATCTAGTCCCGTTTCTTCCTTTGGTTTCTCCTCTGTCAGTATTACCTTTGTTCTTCAAGAGACTTTAGGCAGTGAGATTTTTCTTCCTTTCCCCATCAAAACTCTTTCTGGCTCTACATTCTTTGAGAAGTGGAAATTGATCAAACAATTGTTCGGCTCCTCTACCGCCTCTGCTGCTGGTCTTCCGATTTCTCTCCCGAAAAACTGTCGATCTTGGTTAAAAACAATCGTCTCTATCAGAGTCTATCTCTTTCCAAACTGTCTCACGTTTCTGCTGTCGTCTATGTTGTCAGGCTCGGATGGCGGCCATGTTCATGGCCGCATCCACGACTGGGGTCAGCCGCATAGCGGCCACGTTTTTCACGGATTTTTCCCGACGAAAGTAATAGGCAAAAAAAAAAAGGGGGTTGTAGGGTTTTTCAAACCCTACAACGCCATATTTGTTTTAAAGGAAATAATGAATTTTATGGAATTATAAAAAATAAACTGTCTCTTATACACATCTAGA